AAAAAAAAAAAAAAAAAAACACGACCCGTGGATTTCAAACGCGGGCTAGCAAATGTAGCTTTATTCAACCCTAAATCAGGTAAACTGTTTATGCGATTTTTGCATGACGCGAGCACCTTGACCTACTAAAGTGGCGATTTTGCCAAATGCTCATTTAGTTTACTTAGGGGCAGAAGAACTCGTTGCCAAAACTGAAGAAAATGAGATGTACAGGATTTGACACAATGTACTGTACATATGACAAATGTAGCTTGATGCAACGCTAAACATGTTAAATAGTAAAATTTGTGTGTGATTTTTGTGTGACGCGAGCACCTTAACCTACAAAGTAGAATTCGAATCGTGCGTCACGAATTTGCCCCTCTAGGAAACGCTCGGACCGTCTGTGCATATAGACTAGTTTACTTCAAGTTTGCTTAGTGTTTTTGTATTTTTTTTTCTCATTTTTTTAAAAGCACTTAACCTGGTCCTCACTTGCGACGCAAGCATTAGCATAAGCATAAATATTAGAAGCTTATGCGCTAGTGGGGACGGCTGTTGCATAAGCACAAGCCTTCTGCTTATGCTTGTGCTTATGTTGCTGTTGTGCACTGAGGGCTCATGATCGGCATAACTATAAAGTGCTTGCTGATTGGCTAAAAGTCTTTCCCTTGAGCTTATGCTTATGCCAACCATGTCCCCACTGGACATAACAGCGACATAAACATAGGCAAAAGAAGAACGCAAGGTTTTTATTTTGTTATGCTTAGGGATCTTATGCGTATGCTCGGTCGTCACCTTCTTTTATGCTTACACTCTTGCTCGCTTAGCAAGTGAGGACCGGGTATAAGTGCACCTGACTCCAAACATATTTTTAGCAACGCGTTATCCCGCCCGCAAGGTAAACAAGGTGCCGGTCGCCTGGCAAAATCTCAGACCGGATGGGTTTGCTTCATTTTTTGATTGTGCNACGCGTTATCCCGCCCGCAAGGTAAACAAGGTGCCGGTCTCCTGGCAAAATCTCAGACCGGATGGGTTTGATTATTTTTTGATTGTACGCGAAGGAGACCAGAGAGGAAAGGGCAGAAAATACGTGCAAGCTAGCTGAATGAATTCACCATTTGCTGCCTTTATTGATGAAATTTCACAGTTTTATTGATGCGTTTTATCAGTTGTCAACCAATGTTAATTTAAGAAGTATATGAGCTTATATACGACCTCCTCTTGCAACTGTTGCAAGGTCTGAAAATAATGAAGATGAAAAAATTATGAAAAATTAAGCAAACGCAATGATAAAAGAAGTCGAACAACTTTTACGAACATGCAACATTATGTACGACATCGAATTAACTTGAGAGAACAGCAGATTCAACGTTGTCCGCTATATGTATAGGCGACTCGAGTATTTTTTAGACGGGGCAAATTCATCACGAGACATGCTATACTTAGGTCACGGATCAAGATCCCGCGTACGTCATACAACTGATAGCGTACAAATTTTTAAGCGCTGTATAAAATTTCTCATGCGTCGTGGTTCAGATCTTATAAATCACATTTTCTTCAGTTCTGGCCACGACTTTCGCTCATCAAGGTAAACCAAGGTGTTTACTGAGCAAAGTCTTATAGAGGATGGTTGATACAGCCAGCTTGCCCGTGCACGCAGGAGGGCAGAAGATACCTAGCGTAATGAATTCACAATTTTCTACTCAGTTATATTGATCAAATTTCATGATTCTTTTTTGATAGATGAGGTATATCGTGGGATAATTCTAATCGGGAAGCAGATATGACGTCTTCTAACTGTTGTAGGGCCTTTTTATATGGCTAACAAAATAACAGAACAACCGGCTAACAGCCTCATCGCAGTCTATATTCACAGACGCATCCCAAGTGTTTTGTAAAAGTAGCCGGGGTAATTCATTGCGCGCGATNTTTTTATATGGCTAACAAAATAACAGAACAACCGGCTAACAGCCTCATCGCAGTCTATATTCACAGACGCATCCCAAGTGTTTTGTAAAAGTAGCCGGGGTAATTCATTGCGCGCGATACAAAAATCGCAAACAACATTTAGCATTTAAGGTTGTATGAAGTTGCATTTGTTATAGATAATGTAATAAATCCTACGAACCAAATTTTTGTTTCTGGCAAGGAGTTATTCTGCCCGCACTTGAAGGTAAACCAAGGTGTGCACTTGGCAAAATCTCACAACGGATGAAGGCTTACTTCCGGCTTATACACCAGTACGCGTAATAGACTAGAGAGCAGAATATGCATGCAAGCGACCTAATTCACAATTTGAGTTTTTTAACTAGTCTTTTTTAACGGTTTTATTTATTGATGTGGTATATCTTAAGCTATTAATCCAGGAAAGCTAAAGAAAGCGTGATGAAAATTTGACGGCATCTTCTGTGACACGCTTCTCGACAGTCAGCTACAGTACGTCTCAACTTGAAGAACACTTTACGTGACAAGTCGTACGTGACAAGGACCCGGCAGAAGGATCATCTGAAGTGCCCCTAGCTCCTAACCCCTAAATGTTTTCTTAGCCGTCATAAAAGTCATTTTTCGTCTGATCACATTGGCATGGTGAAAAAAATTATTGTCGTACGGTATTTCTTCGATTTTCTATGAATTTTCAATCTTCGAATAATATAAGGATGGGTCGAGTTTGGTCTGTGACGTCAGCCGGGAAAGCCAGACCTACATGAAATTTGCGGTTTCAATTGTAACGTCAAAAGTCATGGACAAACAATTAACATATCAGAATTTCTGCTAAGGATAAATGAACAGCTGCTGATAATTTAAGCATCTCAGAGTAAATCTTATTTTAAAAAGTTTGAAAAAATAGGTCCGCAATGCCTACTCGTGGGCATATGTTTATTGTTATTCCATTATTTTAAATGTCAGTATTTGGGAGTGAAAGTGCTACAAGTGACTGGAAAGATAAACGTATACAATAATTAATGAATGAGGTAATAGAAAATTTTGTTTTTAATTTGCTGATATTAACATAGACCAGTCATTACAAGTTCTAAGATGGAAAATTTATGGACAGTAGAAGACTTTGTTTAAGTCAAATTAAATTGTGAATATAGCGTCAAGATGGTTTCCTGGAAGTCAGCAGCAATTTATTTTCCAAATTCAATCAAATGACATCCAATATTGCTTCAAAACTGAATCAAGGTCTCGCCAACATAAAATAGATTAAAGCATTACTAACTACGTTAGGCCCAAGCCCTGCTGGGATACAATGTCAATGCCCAGAATTGACAGGTAAAAAAAAGAAAGGTGGTCTAAACACGAGTGATGATAGGTCTAGAGTAAGAAAGAGACCTCAGACACAAGGCAATCCCTTCAAGTTATTTTAAAACAGGATACCCAGTCCTTCCGCGAATAATTTTACCACGCACGTTACATGTATGGTTTCATGGACTTTAATCCCATTTACAGCACCCTGGTGCTTTGATGAGGCTCGGATAAAAGTTTTCCTCGCGTCAAGAGAGGATTAAGGGTAAAAGATTTAATCCACCATCAGTCCCGGGTTCAGAAATAACTAATCCTTTGACGCGTAGCTAGCTCACGTGGACAGCGTAAGCGGCTTTGCACGTATGGAAATAGCTTGTTGTCACGTGTGACCAAATCAAGCAATGTTTGAG